AACAGTAGTCAATGGCAGAGCAGGGATAGGACAAGACTATCCAAAACAGCCAAGAAAAGGTATAAATGCTGAACAGATTCTGTTTTCAGAAGAAAGAGTTTAACAGAGAAAGGTACAGGGGCGATTTACCTAGGATGCCTCCATGTTGGGATATTTTTAACTGAGACTGAATAATTTTCCATTTTAACTGAGACTGAATAATCTCCTGTGGTTCAAGAAGAAAATAATCCAGATATATTGTCTAATTCTGTTGCATGTTACAAATGAAAGCAAGCTAATTCAATCCTGAATATTAAGGAGCTTCTTTTGCTCATTAACCATTAAAACAAAACTTTTCCCCTCTGTTATGCTCCATTGTCCCCCATTGCTTACAGAATCACAGAATCATGGAATGGTTGAGGTGGGAAGGGACCTCTGGAGGTTGTCTGGTCTAACATTCCTACTCAGGCAGGGCCACCTACAGCCAGTTGCCCAGGATTTACTTCTGCTATATGTCATATAAACACAGAGATTAACCACAGAAGGGGAAAACGAAGCAGAATTGTTTTTTTTCTTTTCTTGTGATTGAAACACCAGCATAACAGTTCAGAGGCGAAAGCTTTTCTTCTAAGTGTCCAGTCTTTCACTTAGCTTTTAATAAAAGACTGCACACTACTGTTTCTGACAAAACTGTTAGAAATATTTTCATAATTGTTTGTCTTTTTTCATTTTGTAATCTCAATTAGAAAATGTTCCATAGTGCTTAAATTGGTCTTGAAATGGTTGACCTCCTTTCCGCCATGCTAACCATCCTCAGGCTGATTAGTGTCTTAGGTCAGCCTAAAGATGTTAGACCACAGGAAGGAAGTGCTTCATGTCTTGCTGAGTAAAATATTCTAGGTTCAAACAAACTCCCATAAAAATCAATAGAAAAACTCAGCTGTGAAAGTGAGAGAGAGAGGCTGACAGAATGTGCTATATGAAGAGATTACCATGTAATGGATGGTTTAAAAGTACAAAAAATAACATTATATGTACTGAATCAAGGAACATAATTGTGTTTGGTTGTCTTGCTTATTCTTAAAAAATAAGATTTCAGCTGACATCCAATAAAGGACTAATAAAAGTACATTTCTAATCTAAAAGTGTAGCTGTCATTCCATGTAATAAAATAGGACAATGTTCTTACTCTAAGGAAAACGCAAAACTTCAAACTTAAAAAAAACTTAAACCCATTTAAAAATCAATAAGACTCTTACCAAGTAAAATCCAAAGGATTCCAAACAATTCGAAGATGTCATTTGAGATGATCGTTTATGGTCACTATTCTTTTCCATTACTTTTTTTTTACATTTTATGTTTTATTAAGTGTGAATCCCTTTCTCCCTTTTTTAGTTTACTGCCTAGTAGAAATGTAAGGGCATGGTTATTGGCTAATTAAGGATGCAAAAAACTACACACTAAATATATAAATATTTACTCATACAAAACCAGCGTAGTGAAAGGTGCATGCTGGCTATGCATGTGAGCTACTTCCTTTTTAGAAAGAGTATTTACCAAAACCCAGATAAACAGATTTTGCAACAAAATGAGACGTAAAACAAAAAAAGGTGGTGGTGAAGACTTTAGCAGTTGTATGTTCAAAATTTCAAACTCTCTACAAGAGGGAGGTCTATTGAGGTAGAAAGTTATTTTGATGAGCCTCTAACTTATAAACACGGAGTGCTTGCTTATAAACACGTCTGAACAAGCTTTTAGGATCCAGCTATGTAAATCCTGAGGTATCCCCTTAAGGTCTCATTAGCAGAAGATGCAATGGCCACTGTGGCCATTCGTCAGCTATTTTGTGGATGTCTCACTCCACAATGATGGTGATTGATTACATTTTGGCATATTTTAAACATACCTCGTATGTACCACATGCTATTTGTTGATATTATTGCAATGGCATCCTTAAAATTAAGAGCGCCGATCAAGAGAGATCTAAGATCTTTGAAGATGAAAACACCCTATTTCAGAAAAGGAAAAATGTTGAAGCTCACTGTTACATGATGTGACACAGCACATTTTCCCAGAACAGCAAAATCAGCTGTTTTGTGCCTACTTGTTCTATAACCTTTTTTTTTTTTTTTAAGTAACTATAACTTGAAACTTAGCCATATGGATGTCTGCATCATCCTGCAGAAGAAACATCTGACTGTCTATAAACACTCCTATGACTGTTTTCAACACTATCCTTTTTCAGTTACTCTACTGTTGCTTGACTAAGGCGGACTACACATCTGTATTATAGAAGTTTATTCTATGGATAAATCAGGTGACTTTCAACTACTGCACAAATAAAGTTCCTTAACTTGAGGCAGGAGAGAATAGGGAAGGTCAGAGAAAGTGCTGAGAAGGTTAGAAAGCAGAGTAGGACAGTTTATTAAGATTAACAGCTGCAGACTTGGTGTTGCTAATGGCAAGACAGATTACACAAAACATAGGTGAATCCTTTCATGAAGCCTTATATCTTCTATATTCCTTATTATAAGGAGCTTACTGCAGAGCTCTGTAGCTGAATCCTGTGCCCTTCTCACCCAGCAGGTTTTTTAAATGCTCAAAGTCAGGCTGGCTGGGGTGATGGCTGGCTGGCTGGTTGCATGGATGAATTCTGCTAGCCAAGATCACCTCAGACTTATCCTAATGGGCATGCTGCTATTGCTGACTGTCTGCATTCGTAAGCATCGATGGCAGATATATTCATCATTTCAGAGTACAGAGCAGACAATCCACAGGCTGAAAAAAAGCCCTGAGGTTCTTTGTTAAAACACAGCGATTTACTGAAAAAAAAAAATTTAAAAAATCGAGGCTTCCTCATCATTCACCTTCTGGAACAGCAGTTGTGCTGTTCAGTGCTGTCCCAAAGGGAGTAAAGGTAGCCCCCTCATTAAAAAGCTGCCCTAAAGACAACAGGTCGCCCACTATGTTATTACTACCCACCAGGTAGCCGGCAGACCCCGGGCTGGGCCACCCGACCGCGGCGGGCAGCCCGGCTCCGCGGGTGCGCACCGCCCCTCCGCGCCCGGCCGCGGGGACCGCCTGCAAACAGCCATCCGCGCCGTCTGACCTGCGCTCGCCTCCCCTCTGCCTTTCATCATCCGCGCAAAGGTGGATCCCGGGCTGCATTTTATTTTTAATTGATTTTCAGCCTCCTCCCCAACACCCTCCCGACCCCCGCCCCGGCTGCGCTCTTCCAGACACACTTTTCTCGTTGCAAGCAGCGTCAGCATCAGGTGCGGGCAAGGAGGAGCGGGGACACTCCTGCCTCCGAGGTGCTGGCTGCGGCGTGGGGAGCCCGGGGAAGGGGCTGGGTGTGCCCCGGGGCCCCCGGCTCTGCCCCCCCATCCCCGTGGGGGACGGCGGTGGCTCTCCCGCGCCGGCTTTTCCCCAGGCTTGCCGCCGCAGCAGCGGGGCAGAGGGGCCGGGGGATCCCATTCTGCTCCCCTCTCACTTCTGTGGCACAAACCTTTTCCTCGGCTCTCTCCGCCGCCCCAGCCGTGCGCTTCGCCCCCATCTATCCCCTCGCCCTCCCCTCGCCCGGGCCGGGGGGTGACGGGGCCGCGGCGCCGCGGGAGGCAGCTGCCGGCTGCCGCGGCCCTGCAGGGCCGGCTCCCAGGGCCAAGAGGGGACACTGCCCTTTCTGTCCACCCGCTCCTCCTCCTCTCTTGATTTTCTCTGAGGTCATTTCAGCTTCACTCAATACTCTTATTAATAATATGTTCTCCGTACTCTATTCTTCCTCCCTCCCTTCCTGCCCTGGCCACTAGCCTTCTGAAACCTCGTCAAAGGGATGGGTGTTTGGGGTGGGATGTAGCTGGGGAGGAAGATAAGCCTGAGAAAGGGAGGCGGGAGCGAAAGGGAGAGATTTTGCTGTCGTCTCCGGGCTGATTGGAAGAGGCAATCATCGTATCTGCGACCGGAGGATTAGCAGCTAAACTTTTATTGCTCCCTTTTGCGCGTGTCTGTGTGTGTGCGTGTGTGTGGGGGGTGTAAATGGAGAAGTCGCATCTCAAGGGAGAAAATCTTTTCAATTTCCCTTTGGCCGGTGCAGTTCAAGGAGGAACTCATGAGCATTTTGTCTGATCCATGAACTGATTAGGGGAGGGGAAACGATCCCTCTCCTCTTACTCTTCCTTTCCCAGTTTTGAAATCATTCTTTCCCCACCACCGCCACCCTCCCGCCCTTCCCCTCCCCTTCCCCTTCCCCTGCACTGAATGAATGGAGGAGTCTCCAGGGTTTTCTTCTGCTTCTCGCCCTGGACCGGAGAAGTGAGGGGACATCTCTCTATCCTCATCCATCTCTCTCTCGCTCCATCCATTCCCGAGAGGATTTCAGACGGTGCAATGTGTTTTCAGCCTCTTGCCGCTGCTGCCACTTGATACTATGCTACGCGCAGGGAGAGGTTTTTGCGAAAATGGATTTGTTCGATTTTAAAGGATTTCTTCTCTAATAAGGATCGAATTGCACACAAATATGACTAAATCCCCTATTTGG